ATAAAAGAAGAGACCCCCCCCCCCCCCCCCCCCCCCCAATTCTCAAAGCCGAGGAAGCTTTCAGAGCGCTGGCGAGCAAAGGTCCGCCCCATTCTGGGCCCCCCTCCCCCTTTCTAGTCCGTCTGGATGGAAGTTTCATTTTTATTATTCTGCAGTGAAGGAGACACATCAGCGCTGACGATCCGTACATGATTTAGTATGGAGACAATGTGCTGGGAAATTTGCGGTGCCGGTGTCACGCCATCAATTTCAGCGGGTTTAGACGGGTGTAACTTTGCAGAGGATAGCGCGGTTCAAACCACTGGGGGCGGGGGTTGGTTTGAGAGGCTTTTTAGTTTAATTTTTGTTCATTGAAATGTGGACATCCATAAAAATACAGGTTTTGAAAAACGTTTTGCATATTTTGTCCCACTTGCCATTAAAAAGGTAAAGGTTCCCTTGCTCGAAAGCCAGTCGAACCCGACTCTAGGGTTGTGGTGCTCATCAGTTTCAAAGCCGAAGATCCAGCGCTGTCCGAAGACATTTCCGTGGTCATGTGGCCAGCATGACTAAACGCCAAGGCGCACAGAACGCTGTTACCTTCCCACCGAAGTGGTACCTATTTATCTACTTGCAATTTCTTGCTTTCGAACTGCTAGGTTGGCAGGAGCTGGAACTAGAGACGGGAGCTCACTCCATCATGCGGCACCCGGGTCTCGAACCGCTGAACTACTGACCTTCCACAGCCTGCAGTTGCCATTACAAGAAAGAAATATCATCATGATCATCATTTTTTGTTGTTCAGTCGCATGACCCCATGGACCACATCATGCCAGGCCCGCCTGTCCTCCATCATCTTCCAGAGTTTGCTCAACTTCATGTTCATTGCATCGATAACACTGTCTAACCATCTCATCCTTTGTGGTCCCTTTATTCCTTTACCTTCAATCTTTCCCAGCATCAGGGTCTTCTCCAGTGAGTGCTCCCTTCTCATTTGGTGGCCAAAGTATTTGAGCTCCAGCTTCAGTATCTGGCCTTCCAGGGAACACTCAGGGTTGATTTCCTTTAGGAATGACTGATTTGATTTCCTTGCAGTCCAAGGGACTCTCAAGAGTTTTCTCCAGCACGATAATTCGAAAAAATCTATTATTCAGCGCTTGGCCTTCCTTATGGTCCAACTCTCGCAGCAATACATGACTACTGGGAATACTATTGCTTTGACCATACCGACTTTTGTTGGCAGGGTGATGTCTCTACTTTTTATTATGCTGTCTAGGTTTGCCATAGCTTTCCTCCCAAGGAGCAGGCGTCTTTTAATTTCATGGCTGCAGTCACCATCTGCAGTGATCTGGGATCCCAGGAACGTGAAGCCTGTCACTGCTTCCAAGACTTCCCCTTATATTTGCCAAGGAATGATGGAGCCGGATGCCATGATCTTAGTTTTTTTGATGTTGAGCTTCAAGCCCACTTTTGCGCTCTCCTCTTTTATCCTGAGCAAGAGGCTCTTGAGGTCCTCTTCACTTTCTGCCATTAGAGTGGTATCGTCTGCATATCTGAGGTTGTTGACATTTTTCCCGGCGATCTTAATCCCAGCTTGTGATGCATCCAGGCCTGTATTTCGCACAATGTATTCTGCATGTAAATTAAATAAGCAGGGTGACAATATACATCTTTGTCGACATCATCATCATCATCATTATTATACTCCATTTATAGCCCACTGTCCTCACTGGCTGAGACTCAAGGCCAATTACAAAATGTGAAAAGCACTTCAACTAGACAGCAAAGACCTCTTTAGGGGAGAGGCTGTGGCTCACTGGCAGAGCATCTGCTTGGCATGCAGAAGGTCCCAGAAGTCGGATAAATGTTTTTATTATGTGTTCTGGAGATGTCTGAAGCAATGTATGTAGTCTTTTGTGGCAATTTGGCTACAGTGATGTATGCAATGGTCACTTCCAGGCTTGATTACTGTAACTTGCCCTTGTGGTTGATCCGGAAACTTCAGTTGGTGCAAAATGTGGCGATGTGCCTGCTGACTGCGTTGCCTGTGCAGGCGCACATTCAGCTGGCACTACACCAAGTGTAAAGGTAAAGGTTCCTTTGCTCGAAAGCCAGTCGAATCCGACTCTAGGGTTGTGGTGCTCATCTCCGTTTCAAAGCCGAAGAGCCAGCGCTGTCCGAAGATGTTTCCGTGGTCATGTGGCCGGCATGACTTAAACACCAAGGCGCACGGACTTGCAATTTCTTGCTTTCGAACTGCTAGGTTGGCAGGAGCTGGAACTAGTGATGGGAGCTCACTCCGTCTTGCGGCACCCGGGTCTCGAACTGCTGAACTACTGACCTTCCACAGCCTGCAGTTCAGCGTCTTAACCACTTGAGCCACCGCAGCTCCAGTGTACTGTGTACTCCAAGTGTACTGGCTACTAATTGAGTACCAGATCCATTTCAAGGTGTTGGTATTGACCCTCAAAGCCTTGTGCGGCCTGGGACCGACATACCTAAGGGACCGCCTCTCCCCATATGTGCCCCAGAGAACCTTGCGCTCTGCTGAGCAAGACCTGCTGGTTGACCCCGGCCCAAGGGACATCCGCTTAGCCTCGGCCAGGGCTTTTTCTGCCCTGGCCCCAGCCTGGTGGAACATGCTCCCACCTGAGATCAGGGCCCTGCGGGACCTTTTACCATTCCTCAGGGCCTGTAAAACAGAGCTGTTCCGCCAGGCCTTTGGTTGAGGCGGCGGGCATCCAGTAGAAACATCTCGGCCTTCCCTGCTGAAGACACCATCTCCATGCAGCCCGGGTTAAACAAACTCAGAGTCCAGAGGCACCAGTATCAGTGCCAATTGTCTTTGAATGTTGTTTTAATGTTTTAATCAAGTATTTATTATTATGTTTTGTGTTGCCGAATGGCCTAACTATTGCTGTGATCCACCCTGGGCTTGTTCGCGGGGAGGGCGGACCATAAATTTGAAAAATAAATAAATGTAGTCTGGAGATCAGTTGTAATTCCAAGGAGATCTCCAGCCCCTACCTGGGAGTTGGCAACCTTATTTTGGCTTTGAAGCAGCAAGCATCTGCTTTGCCTCCAAGAAGATCCCTTGGTTTGACCTCTGGCACTTAAAGAATATCACAGAGCAGGAACTGGGGAAGACCTTTCTCTGCCTGAGAGCTGTTGCCAGTCAGAGTAGAGGGTACGAATGACAAGGGGCCAGTGGTCTGAGTCAACATGTGGTCCATTCATATGTAACCCTGTAGGTAATCTGTTCTTTTGTGATCCCACTGTCCCTGTTTACCAGAGGCAGTCTCTGTTCTCTTCCCTCTGTCCCAGATAATAAAACAGAAATCTGGTAGTACCTTAAAGACTCACAAAAATATTTTCCAGCGGAAGTTTCTATGAGTCAGACCTCACTTCATCAGATGCAAGGGAGTGAACTCTGAGTCACAAACACTTCTGTAGGAATGTAATTTGTTGTCTGCCGGACTCCTGTTTTATATTCTGTGGTTGCAGACTAACATGGCTACCTGTATTGAACTGTCCCAAATGGATCTTTATTTTGTCTTTTGAGCAGATTTTCAAGATTGCCTTCCAGTGTGACGTGGTGATTAGAATGTCAGAGTAGGATTTGGGATTCCCAGGATCGAATATCCACTCTGCCATGGAAGGTCACTGGGTGACCTTGGGCCGGTCACATACTCCCAGCCTCATCTATCTCACAGGGTTGTTGTGGGGGGTGTTGCCCTGCAAGGAGCTTATACCACTCTTATGGACTTATGAGC